AAATTTTGGAAAGCGGATATCCGATCCGATCCGTAAATATATAAATATATGTATATTTTGATTATATTTAAAATTTTAATTGTATAAAATTATATAATTATTAATTTAGCACATGATTTTGAACAATTCTATTCAAATTATTACTTATATAAAAGTATTACATAAAAAGAGATAAAATATTTTTGACAATTATATTTTTGCTTAAATTTTGTGTTATTATAATTGTAACTTAAACTTTAAAAAATTACAAAATCTATAAATTCACTAGTTCTTTTAAGTTTTATTTTATATATCACGCAAAAAAAATATTTTTTCAAAGCAAATTTGTATCAAAATCTTAAGATTATTTGTACTAATTAAAATGGATGAGATATCCGTAAATATTCGTAAATATCCGCAAATATCTATTTATTTTCCGGATATCCGTTTTTTCGGATATCCGTATTTTTTCGAAGCAAAGCAAATACCAAAATTAGATATCCGTAACATTCGAAGCAAATCACAAATACCTTAAAAAACCCGGATATCCGATCCGTGCCCACCCCTAATCCTAAGTATCTCTCTCTCTACTTTACTCTTTTCTCTTTTTTTTTTCTTTTTGTTCTGTTCGTATTTGCGTCAACGATCATGGAGTTTTTCCTGGAGATGCTTCTCACGGCGGTTGTGGCTGTTCTGTTTTCTTTCCTTGTGGCTAAGCTCGTATCTGCGTCTATGGTTGGGAACAGCGGTGGAGAAGTAAACGATCAGGTAGAGAAAACAGAGATCGGTGTCGGTGATCGTTTTGTTACGGTGGAGGAGGAGCTTTGTGTTGGTTTGAAAATGGATTCTCAGGTGGTTCAGAGCGAGAGGAGACTCCGAGTGGTTGGTGATGAGAATGTGGAACGTGTGGATCGGCTTGGAAGCGAAGTTGATAGTGTTGTTGACGAAGTCGAGGAAGGGGCTAAAGGGGAAGACTATGTGGTTTCATTTGATGAGTCCTTGGCTGCTGTCTCGCCAGGAAATATGGTAGCTGAGGAGACGATAGTGCCTGGAGAAGAAAAAGTCAGTGCGGAGTTTGTTGTTCGGACCGTGGAAGAAGCTGAGTCCACTGCTTCTGTTTCGCTGGAAAACGTGAGAGGAGGGGAAATTATGATTCGAGGACAAGAGGAGGGAAGCAAAGAAGAAAACGTAATAAGTGGAGAAGTCTTAGTCGCAGAATCTGAGGAGATTAGTGTTCGGACCGTGGACGAAGCTATGTCCACTGCTTCTGTCTCCCTGGAAAACGTAAGAGCAGAGGAGATCATGGTTCTAGGACAAGAGGTGAGAAGTGACGACGTAATAGTTGGAGAAGTCTTAGTTGCAGAAGCTGAGGAGGTTAGTGTTGAAGAGAGTGATACAGTGGAGGAGAGTGAGCATAAGATGGAGTTGAATATTCGAGAAGAAGGAGAGAAGGAAGAGAAAGATGAGTTGAGCATTGAAGAAGAAGATGATGATTGGGAGGGAATAGAGAGGAGTGAACTGGAGAAAGCCTTTGCGTCTGCTTCAAATCTTTTGGAAGTATCCGGGAAAGCAGAAGAGATTGGCGACGAGGTAAAGATGGAGTTGTACGGACTGCACAAGATCGCCACTGAAGGATCATGCCGAGAGACACAGCCTATGGCCATCATGGTCTCTGCTCGTGCCAAATGGTAACCATACTTTCTCATGCTTCTTAATTTTCCTTCTTGTTTTCTTGATAAATGATAATTCCAATGTGAAGGCAAAGCTATGTGTGTAATACTGAAGTTGAATAGGTGGTCATTTGATAGTTCGGTTTAGGATTAAATTTTCATACTTGTGGTTCATAAGGAGACTCCAGACACTAGAAAACTTGGATGAAAAAAAAAAAAAAACAGAATCAGCAATTCATGTAGCTTGGTTGCTTTTATAGCATGTTCAACCACTGCTATGTGCAAGTGACAAAACAATGCTTACTTTTGGGCTAGGAATGCCTGGCAAAAACTTGGAAACATGAGTCAAGAGGAGGCAATGGAGCAGTATCTTGAACTTGTTTCAAAAGAGATTCCGGGTTTGATTAATACTGTGAGTTGTTAGATTTTTAGGGTTTGAAGTTCATCTTGATATCTCTAATGGTCATTAATTAAGGTCTTAGAACTCGACTTATTCTCTGTTCCTTCTCTCTCTACAGGTAGGGAAGATACCAGTCTTAACTCCTAATTCAGGATCATTAGATGATCAGACCACCTTAGACACAACTGGTGTTGCATTCACCAAAAATGGTAAACCAATTAATTAGTAAATCTTTGTGTCAGCCATTTCTTGTATCTTTCTTTCCAGCATCCAGTTATCTAATCCTTTTTTCTAGCTTCAAGCTAACTCAGTATAAGAAATAGTTTCAGCTGAAAGGTGAATCCATTGTTTAAGCAGGCAAGGATTGAAGAAGGATCTTTGGGAATACAAAGTCAAATCTATTCTTGTGCATAAAAATAAAATGTTTCTCAAAGATAATAATAAATGCTGTAAATAGACCCATTTGATGCAACTTATTAGTGTTCTACATAACTCGTTATCCTCACGCAATCGTTTAGTGTTCTCCATCTTGGAGGAGTTGCAGCAAACAAAATCACTTTAAAATGTGTATATTGGTTGATTTATGGTGTGTAGATAATGCTAAGACCTATGAATCAGCCAGCTTAGTGTAACAATGGACGTAGGCCAAAACCACCCCAAAATAAGAAAATTAAAAAAGACAAAATCCACTTTTTATTTTTATCTTTTTGCAGACAACAAAGAATCAAAGAAGACATAACATAAACCGAAGGAAAAAACAAGAGAAACATCCAAATATGTTGTGGCCACTTTATAGAAGATGAATCATGGCACAATCTTGGAATCCCTGTACTTATCAATCCAATAGATAAAAGAGTTCTTGGAGTTCCTGAAACCAAGAAACCCATGTTCTTTACTCTTGTTCATACTATCAATCATCCCATCAACACCAAGCACATCATCAGCAAACCACCACACACCAACATCCTCAAGCTTCTTCTCTTGCAACTGATTCTTCTTAACCATCTCATCCCACACTCTCTCTTTCCCTTTCATCATCTTCACCAACCCAACGTTCTTCCCTTCCTCAAACCCATACTCCTTGATCCCAAACTTCTCAGCAAGAACCTTCCACATATATTTCCACTTGAAAAGATCACCGTTGTTACAGTTAAACGCTTCGTTTTTACCATACGGATCAACCGCAGCCCAAATCTGCTGCTCAGCGACTAAGTCAGCGTCTGAGGCCGCCGCGTAACCTTCCCACGCTTTCTTGCTTCCAGGGAAAAGCAACGGAGACCCTTCTTGCTTGCAGATAGCTGCGTAGACGCAGAGAGTCCCGACAACGTTAGTCAAACTGTAATTAGAGAAGCCAAAGATCGTGTTCGGTCTATGCACAGACCAAGTCACATTCTCTCTCTTCTTAACCTCTTCAAACAGAACATCCTCCAGAGTGTAATAAAAGTTCTTGTTCTTCAACCTCGGCATATCCTCCGTGAAAGGAGACTTATCCGAATCCGAAGCCCCGACATAGTAGTGTTTGGTCCCTGTCTGGAGACAAACGTGTCGGAGATTCTTCGCGTTGGGAACAACCGCGCGTAGGACGTTACGTAGCGTGGAGCCGTTGTTGTCGATCTCAGAGGAAGGGTTTGTTGTGCACGTGACGTAGAAGACATGCGTGACGTCTGTTAAGGGAGAGAGTTTTGATTTAGCTTCTTCGGTGTTGGAGACGTCGCATTGGATGTAAGTCACGGGATGATCGGGTTTCCAGGTGGGACGAGGAGTGGGGGAGACGCCGTAGACTTTCCAGGGACCGCCTGGTGTGTCGGAGAGAGGGAGAATGGAGGCAAGGCTGTTTCCGATTATGCCGGTGACGCCGATGATGAGTGCGACGCTCTCGTAGTTTTGTGTTGACTCATAGTTGTCGTCTATTTTTTTCTGCAAAATGAGATGAGATTTTTAATAAATGAGTAAGGAGAAGGGAGTTAGGATCAGTGGATGAATGTTACCTTGGCAGCTCCGATGGCACCAGCCCACCACCAACTCATTTCTTGATCAAATCGAAGCGGACAAAAGCAAAGAGAAGAAGTAGTTTAGTTATAGAGCCGTTTGTCTGTTTTAGCCTTTTATGTTCGTTTTATAAACGAACAATCTCGTTTGTCCAAAAACGAATAATGTTAACTATTAAAGTTTATAAATCTTATAAAACGTGGTATTTAGTTCTATTTTACAATTTATTCGAGTTTGTTTATAAATTCATGTAAAACGAAGAACAGAAAATCGTTTATGAACTGTGAATCTTGAATGAAAGTTGAGGGACAAGAGTCTTCTAGAGACAATGAACTGGATTAATAACTCGATTTATGTTTTTTACTTACAAATTTGTGTTGACTTTCAGGAGGTTGAAACCTCACATAAATCCACACCATTTGATGTTCATGTTCACAACCATTGTCCAAGTTATCTTCACGACAGGTCTATCTAAAAAGTCAAATCATAATTGATATTCATATAGTATAATCCAGTTGAAGAATAATGTTCTCACCAACCTCTGTTAGTCCAGAATTAACTATTCCTGACAGTCTGGCTATGGATATAAATATAGAAAATAGTTTTGCGAACGAACTCGAATAGGTTTAGCTATAAGAAGTGTTTTCAAGGAAGAAGAATGCTTTAGTTAGTAGACTAATTCTTTGTTATCATAACCCAATCACAACAGATGGTGCCGACGCCTTCAACATGTTGCATCTGGCCTATAACATGCCATATTAACAATGTTAAGAAAAAAAACAGGTTTTATATTATAATCTGCAAAAACACATTAACTATTCTTCTTCTATCCCTCAAATAAACAGGTACTACTTTTTATTTATGTTTTCAGAAAATAATGTTACCTACATTACCGTCTGGGGTTATATGGATTTAGAACATCTCTAATCATATTTCTTTTTATTCCATAAAAGAATTTGAAGTAAAAGTTTATGAAATTCTACTCTATTTTGCACTGAATAATGAAATAAATTGAGTTATGAAGTGATGATCTATTATCTATTCATTACTTTATTTTCTATTCTAGAATAGAATATAATTGAAATAAATCTCAACTTTATTATAAAGCTATTCTATATAGAAAGAAAAAATGAAGTAATATATTAAAAATGTGCATCAAGTATTTGACAAAAGAATCATTTGCTTAGGAGAAAACAGATTTGTATTTTGAATCATTTTCAGGGATTTTGTGTGTGTCACCAATTACAGTTCCCTCTCTTGTCCTGGTCAAAGTAATAAATATGTATTTCACGACGGGTCCGTTTAACACAATCTATAAATACTGTCAAAAACTTGGAATTAATCAACATTAAGTCACTTGATTAATGCTCTGAAATAAACAAGATACATGTACTTCGGTATTTTGAAGGATGAGTTCGCTGGATGGTACATGGCGCTATCCATCACCGCTAGATTGGTGGTTTATATATCCTTTTTAGGTACAATTACTCTCTCATAATCATTTAACTTCTATATGATATCTTTTTTTTTTTATCACACTTCTATATGATATCATCTTCACTAATTTGCTTGTTTTTGGTTATTGTCTTCTTAGGGACTATAATGTTCCTTATATTTTTAATATTGAAGTCTCTGAACGATTGTGACTCGGAAGATGGTGACATGGAGAGTTTACCATTACTAGCAGAACGAGAAGAAATCATCACCATCTGGACGCCGTTGGTCTACGAGCCGTCGGGGGTAAATGTGAACGGAGATTTGGAAACGGCGTCGTTCAGCTCTGCAGAGGATGTGGACTACTCGACATTGTGTGTCATATGTTTCGAGGAACGGAGAAACTGTTTCTTTGTACCTTGCGGTCACTCTGCCACTTGTAAGGGATGTGCTCTGAGGATCATGTCGGAAGAAAAACACGTGTGTCCTATTTGCCGGAGGGTTATACGCAAATCTAAGAGAATATTACCGCTGAAGCTTTGAACGCTGCTGCTTTGTTTCCCTACCACCATTTTTGTTCTCATGATCCCAAGAAAAGTTTTTAATCATCATGTGTGCTCATCGTTCACAACATTTGTTTACAGAAAGGTTTTGCCCATATCAAGAAAAAATAAATAGAGGACAGGAGAGGGAGTGAAGAATTGATAACGAGCTGGCAAGTTAGTTGAGTTTTAGCCAATAAGAATAGATTGAAGCGGCTGTAAACGAGCCTTGAGATATAAAAGGAACTCGTGAGTTAGTTAGGGAGGTTATGCTAGTGGGTTGATTCTCTGGGGGTAGAGATTCAAGAGTGGTAGTCTTCAAGCTTATACGCTTGGGCTTGTGTTCGTGGTTTGCTATCAATAAGATTGGAGTGTTCTTATCAAGGAACCTTTTGCAATAGTATGTATAGAGAATGGCAGTATTAAACCATTTTAATGTGAACAATAGTCTTTCTTTCAGATAACATCGTGCATCATTTGAAGTCTATATAAAATTTTGTAATCCTCGATGCTAAAAAGAAAAAAAAACTACAATTTTGTAATCCCACCTAAAACTTCACATTGCTCTTCATATATATATTTATATGTATCACTATCATGCATTTATATATGTTTGAATCCGGATGATAACACAATAGCAACGGTGACACAAATCACTAGACTATTATTCTTGTTGTTGTTCTAAGAGCGATGAAATTATTATTTTCATAACTGAACTTATTTTCTCAATACCACTTGCAAAGTATGAACCATACGGAAACTCGAAATAACTCTTTAACCAGCACATGTCACACATGACACAACTATGAGTAGAAGAAAAACATAACTGCAGAATACACAAATTCCCATCGATTTCATCACATTTGTTTCATTAGTCTAATCAACAAACACGAATTACTATTCTTGTCCTGGATATTACATTGGTGATGCTAAGAGCTTTATAGTCTTCTTTATATATACTGGATTACACCAGAAAAAGGTTATAAACATTTTATTATGAGAAAGGGTATTAGCCCTCAACCATTCTTTATTTTGGAAAAAATATTTAGATGGTTGTTTTCTCATGCCAGATCTCAAGGATTGGTCCTGTAGCCTGATTAAGAGCCAAACTGCACGTAACTGGATGTAACATTCACAAATTTAT